CATCATTCTGGAACACTCTGTGTACTTCCTCACTTATCATGATTTCATTAAGCCAGTGCAACGAAATAAAAAACTTAAGACATTTATATAAATAACGTTTATTTGATATTTTGACACTATATTCGTTTTTGATGAGATCTTTGGAGAGTCTATCCCAGAGAGAAAATATTGTAGAGCAGATGCGGAGGAATTCAACAGGAATTGGGATCAACAATGCAACAATACAAATACATTTTTCGATATTCCTTACAATACCGAGGTCGAGTAGCGAAGAGAATTCAATTATTTTTTTTTTCACTCGAACATCTCTCTACTGGAGTGAAATGTCGTGTTAGAAGAGACGTGTCGAGCATTCATCCTTTAATTTACAACGAAATTAATATACAGGGTTAGCAGAAAGAACCGAGTCGATAATATGAATGAAAATATTCCAGCTGCCTCAATTGTTCGTAAAGAAACTTGCTGTCGAACGAAGGCGTGGAACAGGCATCTATAATTTCGAGTTATATAATTCGAAATTGGTACAGGGTGGTCGCAGATTTCTTATGCAAGCGATATATCTGTCATACATTGAAGGGAATAGATAGAAAATCCATATCCTCCTCTGAATTTGCTTACGTACTTATTTTATTATTTATTGTATTGAAAACATTTTGAAATCATTATTTGAATAACTTCATATGATAATAGAGCGTAGAATCCTGAATTCTCATCAACTATGCAATTTTTATTGTTTTATTCGTCCCATTCATCAAAAAAGAATTGCTAAACTTCATTAAAATGACGATGTACAGTGTGTCTCATTTAAAACGTACCCCTTCTCTATCAGTCATTAGTCGTGCGATTCTTACACCTTTGGACCGGTATGAATTCACCATCATTATGATCAGTTTTTCAAAGATGAACATCCTTTTTAACAGTGCCGTGCGTTTTAATTGAATTGAAAAGAGGAAGGGTTCAGTATGCGACAAGGATCAACTACCTACGCGCTGTTATTGGGAACTACAATCAAAAGAAGAATATAATTTCAGTCCATGGTCCTCTCCGCAGGTTGAATATAATGATTACTAGAGATACTTGTGGACGGATTACATGATATAGTAATCTCCTTTCTTACAAATTGAATGATCTAAATTGTTATAATATTCCACAGGCATTTGAGAGTAATAGTTGAGAAATAATATAAGAGATAATAACGCCGGATTATGACACAGATTATGAGCTACTTTTCAACTTTGAATTCTCAAAATATCTCCCCCAACTTCTCCGATTGATCTACTGCCCATCCAATTCTCAGGAGTCAAGCTACCATGGTCAAGCTGTACATAGTTCCCGAAGTACCAGCACGTGCTTTCATACAAACTGTTAAATTCTGCTTTCTGCTTTCTATATACATTTTCGAATGAATAATAGAAATAAAAAAACTAACTTTACCTTATATTCGGAATGAAAAAGAGATTTAGCAACATCATCGATTCATACAATTATGTCTCAATATAAGTTTCGGTTATTTCTACTCACTCTGGTATGCATGAACAACTTTTTTTTTTACATTGGATATTGACAATTTCGTTTAGTTAAACGGGCTCAAAGTTTTCCAAAATGAAATTGTCGATGACATTTATATAGATAACAATATTTATCGCCATTTTTACAATTATCATTATTACATTTATCACAATTATAACAATCATTATCATTAAAGCTATTACAATTAATTTACAAATATTACTGTCACTTCAATGCCTTACCACATTGGAAATCATTCTGCCAGTAAAATCGATAATGATTCTCTTAGTAAATGGTCCAAATATCTCAGCACTTGGTATATTTTCAAGAAGTAACGTGTAGGGGAATTAAAGAATTATAGAAAATTGGAAAAAGTTAAATACGAATTTGGAAATTGATAAAAGTGAGGTTTACAAGGATATTTGTCCATAAAAATATCTCTGGTCCAGTTTAAAAATATCGACATTATGATTGAATACGGTTCAAACATATTCAAATGTTTTTGGGTGTATGATCAATTGGCATTCATCATACAGGGCGTGGAAATGAATTCTGAATTGAGACTCTCATCACGAATCTGCGATTACAGGTTTAACACCCAAGACATGACATTTGTCAAAGGAATAGTCAAGAATGTTTATTGACATTAAACAATTAGTGAAGTTATACAATATGAAATCGGGAAAAGATAATAAAGTCCCTAATGAGCAAATGTTTTGTTGGTCTAATGAGAACCTAACTTACAACTCACTCAGTAGTCTGGATTATCAAAAATGCAACAAGCCAAGAAGTGAATACACCAGGGAAACCCAGTTGAGCCTAATGAAAGGTCACTCAAGTTATTCCAGATGTAATCAAAAGTTGAATAAATGCATCTGTCTGGCAACCCATTAACACAAATAAGGTATGAGAATCCGGTTTGTGACAACTCATTCTCAGAAATCTTTGTGAAAGCTTAAGCTTCCAACTGCGAAGGAAGTGAAAAGTCATATGAGAACTTCCACAACCCACGAAATTGGAACATCAAGAAAACACTCCAATATGGAAAGGAAGAAAAAACCATTTTTCGAAATTTTTTTTCAAATTTTCCAATATTTTCCAATAGCTAAAAGCAGATTACTTACTCACAGGTATGCATTGATGATGCCTTGGTAGTCGAAAGCGCTCTGCTACGATTAATAAACACTTCCTTTCATTGGTATACAGGGTGGCCCACGGTCGATGGTACCTTAGACGTATACGGAAAACGGTACATTGGATTATCCTGAAAATTTGGTTACTCTAATAAGCGTTTGTGATCTAACGATTCAAAATATTTTCAGCGATGCAGCGTTGCCACTTTTGCCAAAAAGTAGCATCATCTTTGTTATTTCAAATAGAACACCCTGTATTTCATTGCGTTTTTAGATTCTTCTCAAAGAGCTGATTTCATCAATGTATCATACTTGGGGTCTAGCAGGAATTATTACAGAGATATAGGGTGTTCAAAATCGAGATTTCTCAACACCCTATATCTCTGTAATAATTCCTGCTAGACCCCAAGTGTGATACATTGATGAAATCAGCTCTTCGAGAAGAATCTAAAAACGCAATAAAATACAGGGTGTTCCATTTGAAATAACAAAGATGATGCTACTTTTTGGTAAAAGTGGCAACGCTGCTTCGCTGAAAATATTTTGAATCGTTAGATCACGAACGCTTATTAGTGTAACCAAATTTTCAGGATGTACCGTTTCCCGTATACGTCTAAGGTACCATCGACCGTGGGCCACCCCTGTATATACGCGTGCACACAGCTAAGTAAGTTGATGTGGAAAAGAAATTAGAACCGGTTGACAAAGTCGAGGACAAAGTGGAGCACACTGTATATTATTTTAGACTTGATTAAAGTGTTTAAAACGCGACAGTAAACACTAATGAGATGGAAAGCGTATACAGTTTCGTAAACAAATCCAGTATCATAACCTAATAGGAAATTCCCTTGAATACCCGTTGACCTAGTTTGAGACTGAGATATCAAATAAAAAACAACTATCCCATAACCATCGTTTTCAATATAAATGGTGGATGAGTAGAGAGTGAAATATGCTGTTCTAATGGAGTCCCAAGAGCTTTGGGAATGGCGAAATCTTGTCTGGTATTTAACCTTTACCGACGATTTGCTTTTATATCCTCAGTAATTCTACACCAGGAAAGCCAACACTTTGTATCTGGACTGTGAAGCATGTCAAAGGATATAGGTTGATGGACCCTTGCAGCATCAAAATGAGCAAGAAGTGTCAGTGTGGATTTTTTGTTGTTGGTTTACTATTTTATCGAAAATGTTGTATAAAAGTTTCGTCACTTCCTCCTCTATGCGTATACATGGTGGGGTGAACCGTCATCTATGATTTTTCTTTCAGATATGAAATCAAATTCCCATTCAGCATAACTTTGACATTTATAATGTTTGTGGATAGTGGAAAACAGCATGCAAAATTGTGTATTGTTATTTATCTATCCATGGTCTATCATTATGAAGAATAAAATATGAACAGGTGGTTAGTTTCAGAGAAACAGGATGTTGAAGTTGAAACATTGGAATAGTTTTTTGCAATAGGCAAACGTGACTCGAAAATGTGAATTTTCCTTGAAAATTCTCAATTTCTTTTGGGTTTTCAAAGTCTTTTCCTAAAACATTCAAAAGAGTGAATTGAAACATTTGCCTTCTAGTATGACTTCGAAAACCTCATGAATATTGATATGGAAGCCATAAATAAAGTACTTGAATTGGAACTATATTTAGATTTTTCGCAAAAATTGATTAGAGGATCTGGAAAGATCGGAAGCTATCATAAATTGTGGCATAACTTCAAAAACACAAAATAACGGAAAACTTAGACACCGCCTGTATATCGAAAAATGAGCTCCTACGCATATACGTTTACATGAGATTTTCGTCTGAAAAAATATTTTCTTCAAGCTGTCGAAGGCATGCTACAAAAAATTTACTCACCTTGTATAGTGCACGTTTGTTTCATCAATTGTAGAAAAATTCCTTGAGAAAACGATTCGAAGCAAGTTATTACTTTTCAAACATTCTAAACATTCCGAACATTCCGAACATTCCGAACATTCCGAACATTCCGAACATTCCGAACATTCCAAACTATTCCAATTCATTCCAACACTCAATATAACTCTCTATATCTCTAAAACTCGACACTTGGAGACTGTATGTCTATCGAACACTTTGTATAAATCACTTTATCAATGCAAGATGTCAAATTTGAATTCAATAATTCTAAAACTGGAGTCACAGAGATATACAATTTATGCAACATAAAAATACTCAAAATATTATGTTACTTCAATTTTTGTGCTTCAGATATTTGACATTTCTCAATCATCCAATGACATTCATAGCTGCAATCAAATTTTCACTGAACCATCATTCAGGAATCCTTGAAACGTTTTACTCAACCCCATTCCAACTGTCATCGGCAAGTCCGTTAATTCGGCGTTAGACCCAATAATTTCCTAAACGCCCGCCGGAAGTCCATATTGAAAATAGTATAAATGATCGGATTTAGTCCCGAATTAACATAACCCAACCACGTTATAAAATTGATAAGCCTACTCGACGGGCAACACACTGAGCAGAACGGAATTATCACATACATCAAGAAAAACGGCAACCAACAAACCACGAAAACCCCCATTATAATTCCCAAAGTCCTCGCAGCTCGCCTCTCTTTAGAAAGAGAAATCCTCTGCTTCTCTTCAATAAACTGATAGACCAACCCCGGCCTCTTGTTCGGATCGCTCAGTACCACTTTGGCAGTAGGCTTGGCACTGGAAACGGTTACGGTGGTACCAGACCCCGTACTCTTGTTTTGTCCCGACCCTTTTCTATTAGAACCGGAAGAATTCTCACCCACATCCGTGTAGGAGTCCTCATGAGCCAGTATAGGCCTGAGCGTGTTCTTATCAGCTTCGGACTTGGATTTCTTCTTCGCTTTCGTCTTGGATTTCCCGTTCGCTTCCAAGTGGTCGTTGTGGTTGGTCTCGCTGCTGAGGCTCTCTCTGTCCTGCTGCTCTTCAGCGTTCTTGCAAGGGTTCCTGGACAGATTGACCTTGGCGGCCTGAGCGCGTTCCCTGAGCCTCCGCTTGGTGGCTATGAAGATCTCCACGTAGACGATGGTCATGATGAACAGCGGGATGAAGAAAGAGCCTGAGGAGGAGTAGATGACGTAGCCTTGCCGTTTGGTCAACGAGCAGACCTGACGTTCTGCGAAGACCTCAGGCGAGGGCCAATCGTTCCATCCTATCAGGGGAGGTGAGCTGATTAGGAGAGAGAGGATCCATACGCCTGCTATCATGACCAGTACCCGTTTGACGGTACGCTTTTGGGCGTAGTTGATGGGGTCTGTTATGGCCCAGAAGCGGTCCAGAGCTATAGCGCAGAGGTTCAGGATGGAAGCTGTACAGCAGAGGACGTCCGAAGTCAGCCACATCTTGCAGATGTGTATACCTGGAGCAAAATGGAGATAGTTCAGTGTTTATGACTCGATGACGTTCACTCACGTCATAGGTGTCCCGTTTGATGTTGAGAAGGAACAAGGAACGTAGTTTAGGGATGTTTCATGACGTTTGGACTTGTCACCTCGGACATTTATAGAACGTATTTGGGATTTTTTTCCAGGCTTCAAAGGACACTGAATAAGAAATACTGATTGGCACTCCAAATGTAGTACATAAAAAGTCATTCAAATATGAAGGAACTCAAGACATCTATACGAATTCATTTCCAGTAGGTAAATGTAGAATAATGTAGAAGATGAAACTTGAATTTCACCGTATAGGAACTCAAGACATCTATACGAATTCATTTCCAGTAGGTAAATGTAGAATAATGTAGAAGATGAAACTTGAATTTCACCGTATAGGGACTTCTCTATGGCGAAAACATTGTGTGCTATTATATAGCACTAGCTCTATTATATAGATGTTTCGATGATGATCAATACCATATTCATGGTTCAACTATGAATCGAAACACTGTCATGTCAAAATACTAGGGTTCCATTCAAGCCACAAAATCTTAATATTGGTACGTTCTGTCAACTTGAATATTTCAGGAAGGCTTTCGATAGCTACCTGTATTTTGCTGTGAATATATGCTACAAGCCCTTCTTACCTGAATCGAACTCATCATTGACATTTGAAAATACTGAATCTAAATCTGAATATGCTAAATCATTCAGGTAGTTCTGTAATTTGTTATAATCTGCGATTAGAAGTCAAACGAATATACGATTTATACGAACACAACTGAACTTGTCAGTTACAGATGGTATTTGATTCCATTGCAGACGACATATTCGATAATTTCCGCTTGGCCAGATACTCAGTGTGTCGATAGAAACTGACCTGAAATCAATTCTCAGCATATATTATTCGAGAGAACTGAGCAATGCAGTATAGTAGTATAGAGACTTCTTGATACACATTGATGGAAATAAGCTTGATGAGATCATAGAACTCTGTGATATAAAAAAATTCGCAATTCGTTAAGATTCGATTCACATTAGAGACTGTGAAGAATCAAGCCTACAGCTATAGCATTGAAATTCATTTGATGAAAGAAAGAAGTTGTTGCTGTTTTTCATCATTCGCCTGTGAGAGTGGATCAATCATCGAAGCTGCTATGAGTTGAAATACTTCTTGGCATGAAAAAATGCTATTTTGGCCTCACTGTTCAGTACTAGCACTGCACCTAAGGGTATATACCTGTGAGCATATACAGAGGAGCAATCAGGTACTTATCCTGAAATGAAATTAAATTTCAGACGTTAGAAATTTCAGAGATTATAGAATTTGCCATAGCCATGCTACAGCTGGAAAACAAAGGTCTTCCCAGTTCTTAGTTGAAGCATTATATTTGTATTCATGAAGTAAAACAGAGAGCCCGTGTCAACCCAACTTGAGAAGATGGATTGCTTTCAGGTGACTCAGAGCTTTTTTCCATTTGCCTATTCAAAAGATACCATATCATGAGCAGTTTTCAGGTGAAAACACTCGGAATCACCAGAATATCACCTGCTTTGATGAACAGGATAACGAATGAGAAAGAGAAGGTTCGGTGCAGAAGAAGATTAAGCCTTCTCATACGAAAGCTGACGGCATTAGTTACTTATAGGATTCGCTATAGTAATGTAGAATAGAGTTCACATGGCGTAACAATATGAATAGATCTTCGCATATTATAGTTGGAGTGATCTTGGTTACACTGAATGGTAGAGAGCATGTATCAGATCTGTATCTTCATAATATTACACATCCCAATGAAAATTCTTCTGGAAATTTCCATCATTATTAGTAACTAGCCAGAGGTAGATTTTTTGTTCAATGCCAGTCATAGCTCAAAGAGTAAGAAGCTGTGAAATGACCCACAGCTTTCTGCCTTCTTGTATCAGAAGTAGACCATTTATATCCAGATAACGAAGACTTTTGTGAAAACCAAATTCAGAGGTAGCACCAAAATTAACATTCTATGACCACAGGATACTGCCTACTATGATGAGCAGGATGGAGACGGAAACACGAAAGAGTGCTTCAAGAAGCTCAGATACGAAGAATGAGAATAAATACAGGTTCTGTGGAGAAGAAGACTATGCCTTTCCATACGAGAGCTCACGAAATATTCTATCTCAGAGATCCTGAGAGCAGTATACTTGGAAGCATACACATTCTCATATGAGGAATTAGGAATATTTCCTGAGTATCAGGAGAATATTGTCAAATGCCATCTTCAAATATCGTAGTTAGAGTGATCTCGATAACATTGTTTGGTAGATAATGAGATATGGAGTCTTTTCACATGAAAGCTTACGGAACATTTCATCTTGAAGAACCCTAGTGCATTTCGAATCCTAGATGAGGAATTTGGTATATATCCTGAGAATCAGGAGAAGAGCCGAAAGCCATATAGCAAGAGAAGGAGACACACTATAGATATTCACATATCGTAGTTACTCTTGATAACATTGTTTGGTAGAGAGCATATGTAATATATCTGCACCATCATAGAAGAAAACACACCTCAATGAAAATTCCTCTGGAAATCATCATGCATGATGATTGTGACTCTGTCTGTCATAGCTCAAAGAGTAGGAAACTGTCAAGTGACCAATAGCTATCTGGCTTCTATATCCAGATAACTCACCGAATATCCATCTTCTCAGCATGTTGTGAGCCACATTCGAAGGCAGCACCAAAGTCGGCAACAGCCAGAGACACTATGAAGAAGTTTTGCACTATCCAGAGTGGCTTGCAGACGCTGAGTGTGGCCAAGATGATAAATGCAAACTGAAAGATTACTTCAGGAAGCTTGGATAGGGGAAATAAAGATATTAAATACAATTTTTGTGGGAGAATGAGATGAAGCCTTTTCGTATGGAAGCTTACGGAAGAATATATCTTCAAGAACCCCAGTGCGTACAGAATCCTAGATGAGGAATGTGTTATAGATCCTGAGAATTGGGAGATAAAAGTCGAATGCCATAGCAAGAGAAGGAGGCACACTATAGATATTCACATATCGTAATTAATATCGATAACATTGTTTGGTAGAGAGCATATGTATTATATCTGCACCATCATAGAAGGAAACACACTTCAATGGAAATTCCTCTGGGAATCATCATGATTTTGACTCTCGTGTAACTATCCAGAGGTAAATTTTCTGGTAGAAGTCCTCCACAGCTCAAAAGTTAGGAAACTGTGAAGTGACCCTCAGCATTCTGGCCTCTATATCCAGATAACTCACCAAATATCCATCTTCCCAGTACGTTGTAAGCCACATTCAGAGGCAGCACCAAAATGGCCACCGTCAAATCGGCAACAGCCAGAGACACTATGAAGAAGTTCTGCACTATCTGGAGCGGCTTGTACACACTGAGTGTGGCCAAGATGAAGAATGAAAACTGAAATAGTACTTCAGGAAGCTTGGATAGGAGGAATCAAAATAATAAATACTGTTTTTATGGGAAAATAAGATGAATCCTTCTCATATGGGAGTTCACGGAAGAATCAATCTAGAAGAACCCTAGTGAAAACGCTTGTGCATACAGAATCCAAGATGAAAAATTATTATATATGTATTCTGAGAAAATCAAGGGATGAGAGTCAAATGCTATAGCAAGAGGAGGAGTTGCACTATAGATATTCACATGTCGTACTTAATCTCGATAACATTGTTTGGTTAAGAGCATATGTATTTTATCTGCACCATCAGAGAAGAAAACAAACCTCAATGAAAATTCCTCTGGAAATCATAATGATTGTGACTCTTGTGTAACTATCCAGAGGTAGGTAAAAGTCTGTCACAGCTCAAAAGATGGAAAGCTGTTAAGTGACCCTTTCTTGCTTTCATATCCAGATAACTCACCGAATATCCATCTTCCCAGCACGTTGTAAGCCACATTCAGAGGCAGCACCAAAATGGCCACCGTCAAGTCGGCAACAGCCAGAGACACTATGAAGAAATTCTGCACTATCCGAAGCGGCTTGTAGGTGAACACGCTGAGTATGACCAAGATGTTGCCGACAACGGTGAGCAGGATGAAGAAGGATAGCGTGCATATCGTCACAATGGCCTCCCATTGGGGCACGTCCGTGGAACCGAAGATGGTGGAGAAGTTGCCGTAGGGTTCTTCGGTGCAGTTGCTGTACTCCTCGCTCATACTGTCATCGTGGCGGTCTGTGGGCTAGGCTTCACCTGAAACAGCGAGAACACTCTGATTGGATTTCAAGTTCACGTCACACTATACAGGGTATGATATGACGAATGCGCAAATTTTTCCCAGTCAACCAAATTTGTATCTCCTCCTGTTTTCGAGATCCCAATGCTGTGCAACCTTATCTTGGTCACATTGTATAGTATACAGGGTGATTCACGAGCCACTGTACATACTTATGGTGTACATAGGACATACCTCTGCCATTGAAGAATGAATATTTATATTGGTCAATTCGACGTAATTACTAAGATACAGGGTCATTTTTCATTTTTGGCCAAAATTGATTCACTCTGTATCTTTTCAGTCGTTTGGTCAAATTTCCTCCAATTTCATACACTTAGTCTACTAATTAATGTCAACTTTCTGGAGTAGGAAGGGTCGCCAAATTCCAGGCCCGGACTTGGAAAATTTGAATTTGTTGTCTCTTGGAGAAAGGACACCCTGTACATTGGAATTTTCAATATCTGCTCATTATTCCTGAAACTACATGGATTAATGAACAGAAACATGTTAATAACACGTTTGGCACATTTGAAGTATGTTTTGAATAAAATATTGCTTTTCGAGAAACATTCCATTTATTTATTTTATCTCTTGAAAATTTATAAAAAAATTAAATTATATTTTCATAATGCATTCCACCAGCATCCCTGCACTTTTGTGCTCGCTCAAATGAATTTTAAGTTACATTTAAAACCATTTCTGGACTACATAAAATAGCATTCAACATATTATTATCTGATTTTCTATCAGTAGGCCATGTTAATATCCCCTCTATCATTTGACAGAGATGATGGACCATTGTTTTAAGAATTGTCACAAAGTATCTGTCAATCAGTTGATGTTAAGCCGAATTGCTGTGTTATTAATCATACTAGTTTCTAGTTTGGTTCAACAAATTAACAAAATGCCACTTTTTACTAATGCTGAATATACAGACATTATTCATGTGTACGGATTTTGCGATGGTAATGGAAGAGCGGCAGCACAACAGTACGGAAGACGTTTTCCTGGCAGGAGAATCCCAAACCATCAAACATTTTCCTCAACTTATAACATTTTACGAGAGACTGGTAAATTTCCTCCGATCGATATTCGTGTTGAGAGAAATTTTCAACATAACGAGCCTCAAGAAGAAAATATTCTTGACATTGTACGTGAAAATTCAAAAACAAGTACAAGGCGAATAAGTGCACAGTTAGTTCTGCCGCAAACTGGTGTATGGCGAGTACTTACTTAATAACGAAAATTTATACCCTTTTCACATCCAGCTGGTACAACGGTTGGAAGAAGGTGACGAAATACCCAGGCTTGCATTTTCCCGGTGGATCACAAGCCACAGAAGGACTGTTTTTCGTACATTATTTACCGATGAAGCCCAGTTTACACAAGACGGTATTTTCAATACAAGAAATTCTCATGTGTTGGCAAATGAAAATCCGCACACAGTAAGACAAGCCCATTCCCAACATAAATTTTCAATCAATGTTTGGTGTGGTTTGATAAATGATTCGTTGATTGGACCTCATGTAATTCCTCAAAGGTTAACGAGCCTTGTTTATCTGGATTTTCTGCAGAATATTTTGCCTGGTTTGATGGAGAACATTAATTTGAGAGGAATACATTTCCAACATGATGGCGCTCCGCCTCATTTTGGCGTTGACGTCAGAGAACACCTTGATTACCGATTTCCAAATCGTTGGATTGAACGAGGAGGGCCACTCCCTTGGCCAGCTAGGTCCCCAGATTATAACCCTCTAGATTATTTTTTGTGAAGACATTTGAAACAAAAGGTCTACAGCGATCCTATTGGAAACAGAGAGCAGTTATTGAACCGAATTGAAAATTATTGTGAAGAAATCAAACAAAATCCTCAAATGATTCGAAATTGAATCGGAAATTTGTTAACTCGAGCACAAAAGTGCAGGGATGCTGGTGGAATGCATTTTGAAAATATAATTTAATTTTTTTATAAATTTTCAAGAGATAAAATAAATAAATGGAATGTTTCTCGAAATGCAATATTTTGTTTTAGATGTATGACAAACTGACATTTATCATACAGGGCGTGGAAAGAAATTCTGAATTGAGAAAAACCCAATCACGAATCTGCGATTGAAGGTCTATAAAAATAACAAGTTTCCATCGTTCAAGTTTGAACCCCTTGATTGGGTATGAAAGTATTGAAAAGGAATATTCTCAGATATATTATAAACATGAAAAAATGGATACATTTGAATAAATACATTGAGAATTCGCATTCTCTATGTGATGAAATTATTAATTCTTTCTCGGCATATTCAACAGAAAACAACTACTTTCCTGGCTATATGCCACGACGAACATTGAATTATATCAATTGAACATACACGATAGGAATTTGAGCATAAAATGAATATCGTCTGAAATTGAGAATTGACATTCTCTTCCAGAATCGGATGAATACTATGATGAATATAACGATATAAAAAATATATTACTTACCAAATTGGTATGAAAATTGGAATGTATGGGAGAAATATACTAGTATACATACTCTGTTCTTGTTGAGTCGTGAATTTATCAAAAATCATCCGTATCCATGATGTTTGGGATATATGCACATCTCTTTCACATAGGTTAGATGATTTTGATTCGAATAAAATTCATCTAACCTATGTGAAAGAGATGTGCATATATCCCAAACATCATGGATACGGATGATTTTTGATAAATTCACGACTCAACAAGAACAGAGTATGTATACTAGTATATTTCTCCCATACATTCCAATTTTCATACCAATTTGGTAAGTAATATATTTTTTATATCGTTATATTCATCATAGTATTCATCCGATTCTGGAAGAGAATGTCAATTCTCAATTTCAGACGATATTCATTTTATGCTCAAATTCCTATCGTGTATGTTCAATTGATATAATTCAATGTTCGTCGTGGCATATAGCCAGGAAAGTAGTTGTTTTCTGTTGAATATGCCGAGAAAGAATTAATAATTTCATCACATAGAGAATGCGAATTCTCAATGTATTTATTCAAATGTATCCATTTTTTCATGTTTATAATATATCTGAGAATATTCCTTTTCAATGCAATATTTTATTTAAAACATACTTCAAATGTGCCAAACGTGTTATTAACATTTTTCTGTTCATTAATCCATGTAGTTTCAGGAATAATGAGCAGATATTGGAAATTTCAATGTACAGGGTGTCCTATCTGTAAGAGACGACAAATTCAAATTTTCCAAGTCCGGGCCTGGAATTTGGCGACTCTTTGTACTCCAGAAAGTTGACATTGATTAGTAGATTAAGTGTATAAAATTTGAGGAAATTTTATCAAACGACAGAAAAGATACAGAGTGAATCAATTTTGGCCAAAAATGAAAAATGACCCTGTATCTTAGTAATTACGTCGAATTGACCAATATAAATATTCATTATTTAATGGCAGAGGTATGTCCTATGTACACCTAATGTACACCATAAGTATGTACAGTGGCTCGTGAATCACCCTGTATATAACCCTATCAGGTGCTATCTCTGTACAAATGTTTATAAACTTCACTGTTCTTATGTCCAGAATCTGCAGTTGAAATCTTTTGCTGAATACTCTGTCAATACGATTATACTGCGTACTTATCTTTCGAAATTTGGACCACAATAGAAGGCGTTAAGTTGAGTTGAAGTGAAAGAAGTCAGTTCAGAGAGATTCTGCTTAGGAAAACATAGAGAAGAGGTCATTTTGAATATATGGGTTCAAGAAAAATTCGTTTTCAAGATACATCAGGCAAAAAAAATCTATTATGTCGAAAACAAAGCATCTTCAAGACGTCCAAGAGGACTTGAATGAATCTCAACAAATTTGTCCGTGTATACATATACCTATTTGAAGAATCAGTAATTTCGTTCACTTTTTATGTGTACCTCAGTTATACCAAGAATATGTTTTATGGACATAGGTAACTTTCCATCAAGTTGCAGATATTCTCAAACAGAAAGGGAAAATGGGAAATGAATTACATCTGTAGAGACAGTTACAATGGGAATTTCACCTACTGTGTGTCCTCAAATGAGCCTATATAACAAAATAAATTGAACGAACACTCATTCCTGTCGTTTTCTCATTTGATGCTCTGTTTAGACAGAGCCTAGATGGAAAAATAATACGAACAGCTAGAATTACAGCGTGTCTTTGAGGAGAGAGAAAACATTAGATATCAATTTATTCTTTGTTCTTTTGTTCACAAAATTGGCACAGAATAGTAAAGCTTGCATTGCAAAGTGATATTTTGCTTAACTGTTTCACGAAGTATAATAAGCATTCATTATAAATGGCGAACAAGCCATTATAACGAAAGCAACTCATTCTGACGCCTACTTCTACGATTATTTTTTGTCAAAATTGTCAAATTTGCTTTGCCAACAATGGTTATATTGTTGGAAACAGCAACTATGATTGACCAATCAGAATTGAATGACAGCTCGATAGTGTTTTCATATGAAATTCAACAAGTGGATTGAAGAATATCATATATACATTATTCCAAGATATTTTTTATAATCATCAATGAAACTTTGGCGTTTCAGTGGGGAAGAACTGAACACCTTTTTAAATATTTGCGAGGATCTTTTTGGCAGTGCCGAAAGCTGTATGGTAGCGGTTGATATGATGTATATTTACAAAATGAAAAATAGTGAATTCGTAGTCGAGGCGTCTCTGGTCAGTTAAGCTGTCGCGAACCGAGTAACCACTTCGAGTGTCGAGAAAAGACTGTCGTTCTTGAGGGTTGTTTTGAGAACGTGAGATCGGTTCGAAAACCCTAGCACGTTTCTCAGAAAAAGAGAAAACCTGGTAGTGTAACTCAAATTGAAATGAAATAATTAAGAAAATCCGAATCATTTGTTTGGTACCTCCAGATGGAATTTTATTGGGGTACGCTAA